TTCAAGGAAACATAAAATTCTTGAAAAATTCATAACCTGAGGACAAGTTATGAACTCCATACAATTTTCAACAAGATCATGAATTATATCAACAAACTATTTGCACACAATTCCTATGATCTAACAAAACTCATAAGCATGATTATTCATAATCAACAGTTTTCAAGAATAACATGAACACATATAAACTTGAAAATTTTATTATAGCATTGAAATTGGTTTAACATAATCATTACCACATTCAAAACAAGTTTTATAAACCCAAAACAGTCAAAGGTAATGATTCTAGACCAATTCTAGCACTAAAACTCGAAAATATGCTGTCTGGGGGTCCAACTTGTCGAGTGCACGAACAAACTCGGCGAGTTGGATGCATTTTGCCTTGGACTCGGCGAGTCTGCTCGGCAGACAGCACCAAAAGTCGATTTTTTAAGCAGTTTAAGCAAGTACAACAAGAAAACAAGCCTTAGCTTTGATACCACTGTTGGGTTTTGAGCAATCTAACACTCCTAAGTGTACATGCAATCCTAAATACCTTGGATCTATGTTTTCTCTATTATACATGCAAATATCAACTTTCCAAGGTATTGTACTACTCTAGCATACAAAACTTTGAATAACACAAGTTATAATAACATACCTTTTGTTGGTGCTTGTCTTCATGAAGCTTGAGTGCCTAGTGCCCCAAGTGTGACACCTCAAATGGTTCACACAACACCATATGCACTTGGAATAACTTAGAGAGAAACTTGAACACTCCATGAAATCGTTTAGCCCTCACACACACACATAGTGTCCGATTTCTTGAGCCATGGGATTCTTTTATATGGTGGCTATTAGGGTTACACCATGTAACTCGTGACTTTTCCCATTCCTTATGCTCCATGGATTTTAACCTCCATGGAGCATCCATGGGTCACCCCATGGACTTCGTCCAACATAAGGAATCTTGGATCACAAGCCCACATATATAAGAATGAAGGATTTACACAATCAACCCATATATTTAATTAGTCTCCTTTTGATCACTTAATTAATTCCAAATTAATTCTTGATCAATACTAATTAAATAACCTTATTAATATATTAGAACTTATAATATATTAATAAACCTTAAGTGTTATTTCTCTCATTTTAGTCTATCCAAGTGCATGATGCCATGCAACCCAAATGGACCATGTCGGGTCGGGTCAAGTTTTACCAATTATAGTTATGGACATAGACATTAATCCAACAGAAATTTCATGAGGAATTGGGTACGAGGCTGCATTTTAGTACCGCATACCACCTGAGGACCGACGGGCAGAGTGAGCGGACGATTCAGATGTTCAAGGACATGCTTCGGGCATGTGTACTAGATTTCGACGGGAGTTGGGACACGTATTTGCCCTTAGCTGAGTTTTCCTATAACAACAGCCATCACTCAAGCATTGCTATGCCACCATTTGAGCTATTGTATGGAAGGAGGTGTCGGACCCCCATTTGCTGGGGCGAGGTAAGGTTACGTGTGATGGGTAGTACAGAGATAGTGCTTCAGACGACAGAGCAGATACAGCAGGTCAGACAGAGGTTGGTGACCGCTCAGAGTCGCCAGAAGAGTTATGCAGATAGGCGATGATCCGAAATCGAGTTCCAGGTCGGTGACTCCGTGCTCCTGAAGGTATCTCCTTGTAAAGGAGTGATCTGATTCAGGAAGAGGGGCAAGATGGGACCCCAGTATATTGGGCCGTTTAGAGTGATCACGAGGGTGGGCAGGGTAGCATATCGCTTGGACCTACCCGCGGAGTTGGCCAGATTCATGATACCTTCCACGTGTCGCAGTTGAGGAAGTGTATAGCCGACGAGTCGGGAGTGGTACCATTGGAGGATATCCAGGTGGACGTGAGTCTAAATTATGCTGAGAAGACAATCGCAATCTTGGATTGGAAGATCAAGATTATGAGAAACAAGGAGATACCTCTGGTTCTGGTTTAGTGGCAACATCGGAAGGGGTCTGAGATGACTTGGGAGTCAGAGTCGGAGATGCGAGGGCAACATCCAGAGTTTTTCGTGGAATGAGACTTAGGGGGCGAATTCTGGCTCTAGTGGGGGAGAATTGTAACACCCCGAGATTCAGGTACATTTATTTCACCCTTATTCTTTGTCAATTGGTCATGATTGGTCCTTGAGTGGAGGAAGCCTTGCAAGTGAGTACGTTGACCGTACCAAAGGGGTACGCTGCGCGTACTCATGCGCTTATTTTGGACTCGGAGTCGCTAAGTACGATGGGCGTACCCATAGTTACATCGGGCGTACCCGACCCAGATGCAAAACCCTAATAAGACTTGTGCACTATTTAAAGGATGCTAAGGCTCATTTCTCAGCCTCCATATCAGTGAGTAAAACCCTAAGAGAGAGCCTTCCATCATCCTTAGTGAGTGTGTGTGTTCTTGGAGCTAATAGTGCCTTGGTGTGTTCTTGAAGAAAGAAGAAAGGAGCTTGTGGAGACTAAACGCTTGAAGTGCAAGTTTGGATCTGGGATCTACAAAGAAAGGAGTTGCATTTAGAGGTATAAAGTTCAAAACTTTCCTCTTCTATTTGGTTGTTGTTGTACGTGCCATTTATAGGGTTAAAAACCCCAAAGGTGAAGACTTTATGAGTGTAAGGTGCTCCATGGTCCGAGATCTATCCCTTTTCAGTAGTATTTGTGGTCTAGATCCATAAAGTCCCCATCTTGGTCGTTGATATGAGGTCATGCTTGAGTTCTATGCTTTCTAGGGTTAGAGAATGAAATGTTTTGGGTGCTAGTGACTTTTTTAGCCATGCAAGGGCTTAAAGTCATCGACTTTATGGGTTTGGAGGCTTAGAAATGGTTAGATCTAAAAGTTGGACGTGGGTCTTAACTATTTAAGACCCCAAGAGCTGAAGGACTGAAACTGGGTATTACGTCGGGCGTAATTCCAATACGCGCAGCGTAGGGGTGGCTCACCCCGATCCTCTGAAGTTATCGGTTACGCCCAACGTACATGTTTAGTACGCGCAGCGTAACCCGAAGGGTTGAGTTTTGTTGACTTTTAGGGTTTGATCAACATTAGGGTATTTGAGCCATGTGAGGGGTAAAATGGTCTTTTACCCTCATGAGAGTATTAAGAGAAGGGATGGTCTAGCCTTGGGAAATATGTTGATATCGAGTATTTATTTCATATGATTAGGCAGAGGCTAGGTCTTATCCCCCGGAGTCCGAGATTTCCGAGATTTACAAGTTACCGAGCTACACGAGGTGAGTCTTCTCACTATACGTTACCTAGAGTGGTATTTATGTGGACCGGAGGGTCTTATGTGTTATGTATGAGATTATGTGAATCTATGTGCTATGTGATATTTGTATGCTATATGATTGTGTAGACCGGACCGAAAGGTCCAACGATACAGACCGGACCAGAGGGTCCAACGATTTAGACCAGGCCGGAGGGCCCAACGAACTACGTGATTGGAGGGTTCCACCGAGACACATCAACCGGAGGGTCGTACAGTAGCCTCGAGTGGCATATGTGTTGTATGCAATGTTTTAAAACCCGAGTTTTTGGTTGACCCGGTATGATGACCGGTTCACGGGTCAACCGACCCGGGTTTTTGGTTGACCCGGTATGATGACCGGTTCACGGGTCAACCGGTTTATGGGTTAACCCGGTTTATGGTCTTTTTCTATTTTTATATATTTTTACTTTCATTCATAATGCATAAACATATAAAACCAATAATTTAATGTCCACAAAGTTTAAATATTTAAAAACATTGAAAAACTTTAAAGAAACCACAAACGGCTCGTTGTTTTGGCGTTCGTTACTTGTTTCCAACTATCCAAACCCTATTAAAACGAGTCAATCCGATTTTAACCGGTTCGACATAAGCAGTTGAACCGCGGTTTAGAGGAAACCCGACCGGTTCGATCAGGTTCGTATTTTTACAAAAAAACGATCTTAATTGACCCACCTTCTACCCCGGGTCATGGTCTAACCGGTTGAACCGGCCAGGTCAACCCGGGTTTTAAAACATTGGTTGTATGTGGTATTTTGGGGAACTCACTAAGCTTTATGCTTACAGTTGTTGTGTTTTGTGTCTCAGGTACTAGCGAGGACCGTGGGAAGGGGACGTGACCTGTACACATTAGAGAAAGGATTTAATTTCATATGATCTTGGGAAATGTTATATTTTGATAACTATTGTTGAATACTTTTGAGAATGTTTTTGCTTAATTGTGGTTATTGAAAAATGAAAATTTTGTTTTAAAAATCTCGTCGTTACAGATACATTGTTTGTTTTTAATTGAATTGCTATAATAGTTGGATTGCAAATTAGGGTTTATAGCCATTAAACCCTAAAGGCCAAATTTTCGATTTTTAGGGTTTTGGTTCAAAGGGTTTTTCGAAAAAACCCTAATCGAAATTAAGGTTAGGGTTTTAAAAAACCCTAGCCTCCTCCCTTGAATTTCGAAATATGCTTAGTATTTTTAGGGTTTCTTGTTTTGGATAATTGTTACTTAATTAGATTAATTGGATAATTATCCTTTACCCTAATTTTCGAAATTTAGAGGGATAAGGATTAGGATTAAATTAATTGTTTAAATTGATTAGATAATCCTTACAAGACTTAATAAATTAATTAAACGTTGATTAATAGATATATATTAAATCTATTTATTTGGTTTATTTTAAATTTAAAATTAATGGCTTATTTTTCGAAATTTATATATAAACCCTAAAGTTTTAAAAGTTTAAAACACACCTTATATATATTATAATTAAAGTTAAATATTATATATGTATAAGACTATGGTCAATCAAATCGCTAGTATGTCTCATTCACGCAGCTAATCTATAAGGGGGATATAAGGAAACTGCCTATAAAATGGTAGTTGAATGGGTGTCCACTCTCACCCACCGCTTCCTTGATTAGTGGAGGGTCGTTAGCAGAACGGATTTGATAGGAAAACTA